GAGTTATAAGACTTGAAAATTATAGTCCCTCTAGCATTAACATTATTTATGGTGTACAACTGATAGTTGAAACTTTTCAAATGTTGTTCAGAGTCATAATCTTGACATCATATGTCAAAATTAAGGCTTTTGAAGGTTGTTTCTTTTTCTTTTATTTGTGCACTAAAAATGAACATTATAATAACAACAAAAAGGCTATGATTTTGATAAATCAAGGTCATAATTCTGAACAACATTTGAAAAGTTTTAACCAGCAGTTGGGCACCTAGATAATGCCAATGCTGGCGGTACTATGACTTTTTTTCTTAATCTTTATAACTCAAACTGTAGTTAATTTAAAAAATATTTTGTTACAATGTTTTGAAAAGTTTTCGAAAAAAAACCTATAAGGATATGTGATAAAAAATGGGAGTTTTTATTTAAAAAAAATCCATTTGACCTTGACCTAATCTTAGCGGCGCCACCCAAGATTAAATTGATAAGATTAATAATAAAATATTTTTAAACACTACAACTTTTATCTGAAACATTTTTCTATAAAACTTATATTTTCTATATTCAGGAGCTTTGATACTTTTGCCTCGTCCTGTATATGTAACACAAATGGTTCTCAACACTGAATCTCTCAAAATTTATATCTGCAATAATATTGAATCCATATATATTTCAGTTCATAAAATAATTCGAATAATTTAATAATCCGAACTCGGTCGTAAATATTGAATGTTTGCGTAAAACGTTACATATGTTACGTGCATTTAATTATTTATCTTTTTCTCACTAGGTCAAATGTCCGCACATTCGATCGTACTATATCTATTCGATGAAAATATAATACCACCTAATATCAATTGTTTGATTAAGAAAAAATTAACTTATAAAACTTCTAACTTATAAAAGTCTTTCTTGCATTATCCTCTTTAAATTATGTAAGTAGATCGATGTAAATAGTATCTATCTATGTATATTCGTTGGATAATAAAAATTAATTCATGACAAACTTGTGTAGCAAAAATTGTTGCTTTATGCTTTCGTTTCTCATTTGAGTTTAGACTAAGTAAAACACTTCTCATACTTATCTAATGGAAAATTCGATCGATTGCTTCGAACATATTATTCTTGCATTCGCTCGATAAATGTTTCAACGTTGTTGAAAATTTAACGAAACGCGTCCATCAGCAATGTCGCGCATTTGTGTTTTGGACGTCACAAGTTCAGAATATCCATCGCTTTTAAATCACGTAGATGGTGCAAAGTGCAAGGTACAAGAAAATTGTTAATTTACTTTGTGTGTAACAATTATCAATAAGGAAAATCGTTATTTTATTAAAGATAATCTGTCATTCGTACGATTCGCGTGGCGCGCTTCCACGAGAAAATTTTATCCATGGATAAAACCTGAACAGAATAAAAGTATTTAGTTGAAAAACAAGAAAACTCGACATATGTCATCATGACAGATGTTGTATATACAAAAGACTCTTTTTGCCAAATAAACGGTAACAAATAGAGAACCGGTTGGATCTGCCAGATCTTCTCATTATAATGCTGTACAGGATGTTAAGGTGTCCTCACGCCGAGTCGTATAAGAAACTGAATATATCGTCAATGTAAACAGTATATCTTTTAAAGATACGTTTGATGCAAAAATGTTTAGATAGATCAAAATATCCAAGTCAAATAAATAATGCGTTCGTGCCATAATACTTAAGAAATAATAATAACTGTAGTGAATACAGTTAAGTATATATAACTCGAAAGAAATATAAAATAACAAAAATTATAATACATACAAAAATATTACGTAAATTTATATATAATACGATTATTTTTAGTTAATATGAAATAGAAAGTAGTATCGTCATTGTGAAACAATCTTTAGATATCCATATATCTATATATATTCGCACATACCGCATGTCTGTGCAGTCTGTTGTTCAACAATAAAGCCGATCGTTCAAGTTCCTAGGATCATATTATAAGATACGAGAAGAATAAGGAATATTTAACAATATTGGAGACGCAAAAATAAAACGAAAGGTATTGCCAGTGTTATCGCAATGTGTCAATTCTCTATAACCCAATCTTTTCTTATGTTTGAAAAAAATTAACCCATAATTAGTAAATACTGACGAATTAAGAAATAAATTTAAATGTTTTTAATATTTTATTATATAAAAAAAAATAATTTCTAATCTTTAAGTTACAATGGATGATAATATATAACATTGCATACAATAAATATGTGTAGAGGAAAAATAGGGTTATAGAATACTATTTTGTTTTATTGAAATAATTTAGTAAATATTTATGTGACATAATTACTTTTAATATAAGTTTGTTAGCCATAGAGTGTTATGTATATACTTAAGTATGATTTTACATGTCATACATGCACACATTTTGTTGTCAAATTTAGTTCAATTATATCATTTAAAAGCAACATTCAAAACCTCCAAGCTAAAACGTAATTAAAATAAGTAAATATAACTGGTTACAAATCAGTATGTGATTTTTTTAAAACACGCAATTTGAAAAATCACATGACTTTAGAAATAATTTTTCATCGATTATATGATTTTATAGTTATCGAATTTTAAATAATTAAATGATTGGAATAGAAGAGAAAAAAACATATCATCGTGTGACTCTTCAAATTATATAATTTCAAAAAATCACATACTGATTTGGAATAATCCGTTATGTGATTTATATGTTTTAATTACGTGATTTTGTTATATTATTTTGTGACGTGATTTTTTTTGGTAGGGTTATTAGTAATAACGTTTCAAAAACGAAAAATCAATTCCGTACACAGTTTTGGTAGGATCAAGTGACGCGACGCCAAGTGCATAAAAAACAAAACGGACCGCTTGACCGTCATTATGTATATTTATATTCGTGCCGTTTGTGCCAAATTTGCGACGCTACCACTAACTTTATGTGGAGTTTTGACATTAACAAACTTTAGAATAAAATTACTCACAGAAACGCAATCAAAACTCTAAAAACACTTTTATTATATAATCATCGGTATTTTTCGATTGCGATTCAGTCTGAATAAAATTGGTGTGTCTGACACAAAGATCTGGAGATCGATTTCCGAAAGGGACTATTTCAGATTTTCAGATTTTTTTCAGTTTTACATGTGACACATAAGGCCTGTTCTTTTTGGCTGAACTTTTGTATCAGTTCATTTTTCTTCCTTTTCTTTCTTCCTGGAGAGAAAAGGATGAAAGATGAACTCATGCAAAAGTTTAACTAAAAAGAACAGGTCTATACATTTAAAACATTTTGTCCACCACACAAGCTGCAAACAATGTTTTTATTCTTCTTAATATTACATTAAAATTAGCAATATAAATGAACATTAATGCACATACGCATGTAATAATTATCAATATTTATGCGCGCGCGTGCGTGCGTGTGTGTATGGGGGGGGGCATTTATGGGAGCATGAAAGTGTAAAAGAGAGAAATGAAGGCAAGAGGAAAATGAGAAAAGGCGAGAGGAAGTGTAGACAAGAAAAAGCAGGAAAAGGCGAAACAGTACAAGAGATGAAAAAAAAAGAAAGAAAGGTGGAAACGAGGGAGGCAATTAATTTTTATTTTTTATTTTTATATATTATTAACCTAAAATATATCATCAAATACAAGTTATTATTATCTTTTTATTTTTATAAGATTTAAATTCTATGTTATTATGTTTTCAAAAATTTACAAAAAGCAGTGAAATCCCTGAAAAGAATCTCTTTAAAAAAGAAAAAATATACACCAAGTACATAAAAAAGGTATCGAATGTTATATTTCTTTTAATAAAAAACAGATACGAAATAAATGCAATTACCCAAGTATTTTATAATGCAAGATTCATAAGATAGCTGATGGATTGAAAGTGATTAAAATGGTCAACTACATTATAGTGAAGAAAACTGCATATATTTTTTCTTTTTTAAAGAGATTTTTTTTTAGATTGAGTAATATTTCAGTCATCTCCATTTCTCATTTCTTTGAGTTCACAGTTTATTTCAACGATTTCAGCAATTTATTTCCATCAGGGATGTGGGAAAAGAACAATTTTTAATTTAACTGAATGCTGATGTAATCATCGTTACATAATTGCGGTAAAACAAAGATGAAAATTACGTGTCAACTGGCGCGACAGACTGAATTATGTTGATTGCCGATACGTGCGTGTCAAGAAACGGAGGGAAAAGTGTCGAGCGTATCGGTTACATCATCACATTGCAACGCGTAAGACAAGTAGGAAGATCCATTGACTGCATTTCGAGGTGTAAATTTCCAACGCATTGTGATATATTAATAAATAATTAATTATAATGTGCAAATGACTAGGTAAGTTTATGTACAGAAGGATATGTACAGAATTGTTTATCCAAGATACGACAGTTTTGAAATATGGTTTTTAAGAGAAAACATCGATTAAACGTATAAACGTATATTTTTAATAAGTGTATATGACTCCAAACAATTCAAATTAAAACACGGATATTTTAATTATGTAAAAGTGTTAACACTTAGATGACATTGTCATAATATCTAAGGTACTCATGAAAGATTGGGATTGGAACTACCGATAGTCATCGGTCACTCGCGGTGGAGTATATTTCATTCTTGACACCAGCCGCGACTGTGCCGCTCAAGAACACTCCGTAATCGTTAGTCCTCGAACGCGAGTGCTTGCGAGATTGCCTCTCGTTTTTCTTCAGTTTAAAAATCCTTCATTTCTCTACCGAAAGGGTCTCCCGTTGAATCCGTCCACATACACAATCATATTTAAATAACTTATCGTTAGTAATTCTCATAATTCTTAAATAATTTTATTTTTTACTTTCTCAAGCAGCCGCACAAACTTTTGTTTTTTTTATTAAATGAAATCTACAGTCTATATTTTGTAATCTTCCATATAATTAATAAATTGATCAGTGCTAAATTCTGTTTTGTTGTACTAATCACAATCGTGACGATGTGGTATTTCAGCAATCAACAGAACGGAGCTGCCATCACAACGATTACTTCACATGTGGACATCGCCGTCGCGACTCAGGATCGGCCGGGCACCTAGGAAAAAGATATAGCCTTCAGCTGTACCATCAGCCGCGCCCAGTGAAGAATGGAGAACACCGATGGATCCAGAAGAAAACTTTCTTTTCTTAGTTTTGGTAAACGAATATCGGTGAGTAATTGACGAACAATTAATATATAGCATAAACGTGAAAAACACCTCGGAAATAAATCGAAAGAAAACCGTCTCGGTTTGTATAGATATGTCCCAGTGTATCTATGACAGCGTATCGGATGCTTTAATAACGATACGTCGATAAACAATATTATATCGAGATATATATTGATATATTCCGACTACTGCGATGCATACATCACTTACAAGGGAAGTAATTTCCCTTGAAAGGGGGTAACTTCCCTTGTTAGAGTCTGACCGAAATTTCGATTTCGATTTCGATCAGTTTCGGTGAAAAATCAGAATTTCGATTTGACTTCGGTTTTGGTCGAAATTAAGAGAAAATTTCGTAAAGGTAAGTAAACTGAAACTGTATAAATTGTAACGCGCCGACAAGCATTCGAAAAACTATGTTATCATCAATTGCCGATTGCTGCAAACCACGTCAGCCCTATATTCTTCTTTCTTTATTCTTTTTTACTCGCCAAGTTACTACATATCTAGTATCTGAACTTCCTGATAATTTTTATAGGAAATTCCTTATAATTTAAGGAATAATAAGACAGTGATCAAATCTTATTTTTAAAAGAGTACATAAATTACATATTTTGATATTTTCGAACAATTTTCTGAAAATCATCGTGTTTGTAAGATTTATCAAAAAATTTTGGTTTTGATTTCGATCAAAATTGAATTTGTGAATTGACGTTGCGGATTCACGGAATCTGATTTAAGTTGACCTCTTCATATAAAAAACGAATGTCTAATATATAAATTGAAAAAACAAGTACATCAGAATTAGGTGCTTCGATAAACTGTAAAGATACACCTAAATATATAATAATACAGTATTTATCAAATATTATTAAATTATTAAAATTAACTATCTCCCCCAATTTGATCTATAAGAGATAACTTGGATTAAAATATTAAACTCCGTGTGGTCTTCGGTTTAATTTACAAAATACTCCTCTGTTAATATTATTATATATATCTAATATTAAAATATTAAATCGCAAAATTATAAGTATTTATTTTATTTTCGATTTAGCAGAAATTCAAATAAAAATATCGACAGCGCGATCAGTATAGAAGAGTAAAGTTGTGTTAAAAAATTAAGACTTGAAATACTATTTTTAATGCACTCTATTAAGATATCAAATCGCAAAATTAGTTCGGTTTAGCAGGAACTTGGACTAAAAAGTCATCGCGCGACTATAGCTCATAAGAATAAAATTGCATTAAAAATTATATACACTTACGTGTTTAGTCTTGAAATATTCTATTTTTAATGTATTTACTATTACGATTTTAAAGCATCGAATTAATTGCTCGCTCAGTTTAACAGGAAGTTAAACAGGAAGGTCGACGTTCAAGATCAAGTTCTTGAAGTTGTTGCTAAATCGAACGAGCACCTAATTCTGCGATTTAGTATAGTATACTATATTTCTTGATATATTAAAAATAGAATATTTTAAATCTAAAAATGTAAATGCGCTTAATTTTTTACGCAACTTTACTCTTGTTAGCTGGTCGCGCTGTAGATATTTTCGTTCAAATTTCTACTAAACCGAACGAATACCTAATTCGGTGATTTAATATTTTAATATTACATTAACAGAGGGAGTATTTTGTCACTAAAAATAAGGCGGAGTTTAATATTTTAATATAAGTTATCTTTTATAGATCAGAGACTAGGGGAGATAATTGATTTTCATAATTTAATAATATTTGATAAATAGTATAATAATTTTGATGTTTCTTTGTAGTTTTCTAGACCTAATTTTGAAATATGTTGGAATTTATTTAGCTCTGGAAGAGACTAATTTAATAGGGATCATTTCATCGGTATTTTGAAGTGATGCATTCACTTCTCATACAGCACTTTATTCGAGGGATGTCCTGAGAATGTCCCTAGAACATGTAAATATGTTTTCTGGACGTTTTTTAGAATGTTCAAGGTGACTTATTGTGCATAATGGCGGAGTTCCCGTCTCATGATCTGAGATCTCGATTAATCAGAAATTGAGCTCATTTGCAGTGTGAAACAAGATATGTGAATTTCTGCAAATGAGCTCAAAACTTGATTGCTTGACGGATCCTCTTACTACTTTTAACTTACTATGCATTCGCCGGTATAGATTACTTGTCTATTCCACCACGGAAGTCTGTGCTGGATATGGGTTTTATCATATTCTAACATAAAACGTATAACATGGTGACAAGATTAACTAAACAAATTTAATTGCGTTTTCTACACGTGTTATTGTTCAAATCGGATATAAGCAGATGTAATTTTCGAATAAGTTACAATGATCCGTATTGCACTTGCATGCGAAATGTACATTGTATGTGCATACGAAGGAACAGGGATCCGCTTTGCAAAATAGTGTGCGAATTATTGCACATTATTTCATCGCAGTTATCTTCCGACTCCGACATAGTTTCGTAAAGGCGAGATAAAAATGACCTCGAACAGGACTGATTGGCCTGATTGTTGACGGTCACGGGTCAATAACCATTTGACACCGTGTGTGGCGCACGCGGATCGCACGACACAAATTGGAAACGCGAAACGGCGCCGCGGCACGTGACTTCGATCGGAACATCAGAAGGAAAGTTGCCGGCGGGACTTCCTCGTTGCCACACGCTAAACCGCTAAATATTTATAGAGGATGTTTCATAATTATTCTGACGGAGTTCGTGGACATGTAAAACAGACTAAACTGAGATGGAAAGTCCTCTACCATTTTGCAATTTTTGCAATGGTTAACAAGATATTAATTGCCAAAAATTGCCGAAAATTGATCTTTAATAATTTTTTACTCAAATACTATTAACTTTATAGAAAAACTGCAAGAGACAAAAATTGTTTATTTTTTTCTCATAGAGCTCTAAGAATTTTTTTCAAAATTTTTTAATATCGTATTTTCTCCTGTTGATAAAAATGAGAAAATGCAGTACTAAAAAATTGATAAAAAATTCTGAAAATATTCAGAGAGTTCTATGAGAAAAAAATAAACAGTTTTCATCTCTTATAGTTTTCCTGTAAAGTTGATAGTATTTGAGAAAAAATTATTGAAGATCAATTTTCGGCAATTTTTAGTAATTAATATCTTGTTAATTATTGCGAAAATTGAAAAATGATAGAGGACTTTCCGTCTTAGTTTAGTCCGCTCCATCAGAACAATTATCAGACACCCTGTATGTATATATGTGTGTGTGTGTGTGTGTGTGTGTGTACACTTGATTACTATTCTTTATAATACTGGAGAGCTGTAAATTCCGTATTAACGACCAAGACCGATCGAATGTCGTCAACATGACGCGCGACCACCATAACCGCGATGTATACGGTTGCGTAAGCTCGAACTGATTCCAGATGTACTTATTCCTTCGAATGCGATCATCGTTAATAGTCGTATATCAGGATCTAATTAGTGGTGAATTCTTGATCTTTATCTAGAGTTGGTAAACTTATTTTATAAAAATAACTCATTATCATTACTGATTTGAAAAGTAACTTATTGTTACCATTATTCAAAAAGTAAAGAGTTGTTACAATTTCCGTTATTTTTTCAGTGAATTTTGATAGCTCCTTTTTTATAGAATGGCATTCTATTATTCTAGACATCAATTGATCAATTCAACACGAGATCTATAGTGGTTACGATGGTTGTGGCTAATCGCAACATAGTCAAACATAACATTTTCTTCTTTCAAAATTCATATGTATCAATAAGGAAATATAATGTCGTTTCCAATTTACTACTGAAAAAAATAATTGTAACGCTAATGAAAACGTTATGTTTCTTATTTGTAATGTTAATAATAACACAATTACTTTTTTGGAGTAATAACAGTAATGAAAATAATCATTTCTTTTATCGTTACTTTGTACAACATATGGGTGGGTGTGTGTGCATAGAAAACGTGCGTTTAAGAGTAAATTTCAAAAGAAGAAAACGTTATGTTTAACTATGTTGCGATTAATCATAATTACTATAAATTTCGTGTTGAATTGGTCAATTAGTGATCAGAATAATTAAATGCTATTCTTGTAACGCGTTGCTTCCCAATATTATCTTTATCAATCGCAGATCTATGGTTCCTTTTTTGTAAAACGTTATCAAAATTTGTCTCTAATGACATCTCGGCAAGTTCTTGAACGATACTGCTTTTTCGATTCGTGAAAGGCCGCGATTAGTTTCGTCCCACTGACCTGGATTGAGCGATCGAACAGCAAAGTGTCACCTCCTTTTTGCTCCTACGGAGCAGGAAGTCGCCTAATAGAAACGCAAATTGGACGATACGCTGAAATTTGATTCGATGTGTGCTCTGTACTCTATCTTTTTTTTTTAGCTATTAACTATTTAAAAATGGGTTAACGGAAGAACTTCAGAAATTTGCTTCACTTGGATTTGCTTCACTTGGTACTTCTTGCACAGTAACAATCTCTTAATTCATGTTGCACATATAGATGATTAAAACATTAACATTTGCCGACGTGCCATTCAAGCGCTTACGCAAGGTCGGAAGCCGCAAATTCGATTATCAAGAGCGGTGTCAATCGTATCCTCGCAATCATATAGCTCGATCGTTGCTAACATTGTCAGTGTACAAGTAACCCGTTTACGTTGGAGCGCATAAAATATCCATAAAAGAAATTCCTCTCATGTTTGCAACAATCCCGAAGGTAGGGATATGACTTTCCGTAATAATATATTATATATAACTATAAGATGCGATCCCATTTCTTTTCGACCGGTGCGACAGATCATTCAATTGATTACACAACAATTGTATCAAGTCTCATTTATAAATTTCTTTTATAAAGAGAACAACTAAACTATGTAGCTAAGTGTAACTCATCAAAGCATCTTATGGCACGTTTATATCAGAATTTGTTTTTAGTTAACAATCCTGAAACTGCCACTTGTGGTATTGCAATTGATAGGATAAGAAAAAAAAGATTCATATATATGAATACGGATTAT